ATGTGTGGCTGCTAACTAGAGCTTTCTAGAAGAAGGAGATATCCCTACCCACGATTTCCAGAATCACATCGAATGGAGTGGAAAAGTTGTAAATCGTGCGATGACGAAGGAGATCGAGTTAATGAGAGTAAAGGTACGGTATCGCTCTTAGATTTTACTCTTGAAAGGAGTGGTTACGATAAAGAGGGCGCAGAGGAGAAGTGTGTATACCACACGATTGGTAGCTTGTCTAACAAGGAATTGAGATGTAGCGCTTTTGCGACGAAAGATGCACTGGTTGCCGAGCAGTACTTGGAAATCGCCACGCCCCTTTAGCGCTCCACCCACTAGTCTAGTTGGCGATTTGGGCGAGGTGTATTGCAATGGAGCAATTTGACTGGAGCATAGATTGGCATTATGCCACCAAACGCGTTGCAATAAACTCGTCCGTACGTCCGCTCGGGCAGGGATTCCGTTTTGTGTTTACGAGTTTTCCTGCTTTTTTCGCAGATGGCGTAGCATTGAGCACCCCTACTTTCCCTCCATATCCCTCCAGAACCTATCGTAATCGCTCTCTTTGACAGATGGAATGGTTGTAGGTTATTCTAATTGAATAAACTGGCTACATGATTTTTCGCCTGCCTTCAATAAATTCGAAAAATTCATATTTTTTTCAAACTCGGTTTGAGCTGAAGTTTAAATTTTTTGTGTAATTAGGAAACACGTAGTAAGTAACTGGTGCATATTTGGAGAAGTTTTTTCAAAAGGAAGCTCGAAAAACCGCGCTTGTGCCGCTGTCCAATTAGATTTTTTTGGCCGTTCTTTAAATAAGTCAAAAGCAACATGCGAAATACTCACAAGGGGATCATTAGGGAAACTCAGAGATAAGCAATTTGAGGAGAATGAACGAAACTAGAGGCTTTTCTAAGAACATCGAAGTCCTGCGTCTATGCATTTACTTCGAAAGGGCCCTGCATCAAGTTGCAAGAGCCACCATTTTGACGCAGGGATCTGCAGAGGTGCTCAAATGTTAGGAGCGGGTTCAATTAATCATCTTGAAACAGCCACATAAGAAAATCAAAAGAAAAGATTATAAGAAAAAAAGGAAAGGTTGCAAAACTAGAGGGTGTCACTTTTCCGATACGGTACGCGTAAGAGTGTAACGCCCAATCCACGTCAAAATGCATGAAATCTATGGAAGTAACCTTGGGGTGTGTAGGGAATTCAAAGCGATTCTCATTTTTTCCAATTCCCACCCTTCCAAGCATAGTTTTAGGAAATGCAGGTGAATGGGTAATCCGAATTTGCCAAAAAAAGAAGGAGATAAGCAAATTTACAAAAAACAGTGCAGAGATCATCCTGCCAGTCACTGCCTACATTGCACTCCTATATTCAAAGATTGGCACACCTCCTCCTTCCCAGCTACGCACCAGAGAGTGGTAAAACTTTTCCACGTTACAAGGATTGATAGGGATGCAGCAGTCGGTGGCGAAAAGATGCTGCGCAGTTTGTTGATGATACGATAAGTTGTTATGCCCGCATGCCTGCGTGAATGAACACTTCGTGAATCGACGTGAAATCAAATTTCAAGAGGCAATTCTTGATTCCGAATTGAGTAACAACCAAACGCCTTTCAGACCCCCTTCTACTTTCTCTACTTATTCGATTATTAGAGGGCTCATTGAAAGGTAAATTTAATGCGTTTCATAAGCTTGGAAAGGTTTCTGTGTATTTTTATATGGGCGCAGTGAACGTCCCGTCTGTGGGCCGTAAATTATCTGTTGGAAATATACTAGTGTAAGTGTCCATTATTGTACGCTACTGCTTCCTGACTAGCATTTAGAGGTGGGAGGGGATCTGATTTAGAGTTTGAGTTGTCAGAAGCAGCATTGAAGGCAAGCGAAACAGAAGCCACATGTGCTTATAGGGCCGATGTCAGACTTTGCGAATCGCGCGATTCGCTACTAGCGATTCGCGCGATTCGCTAGCGTCCGCGGTCGCGTTGCGGTACCAGCCAATTGAGTGATTCACTGGCCGCGACGCGACCGCAGACGCTAGCGAATCGCGCGATTCGCAAAGTCTGACATCGGCCTTAATGAATGAGGGTTTCATGGTATTGATGGTGAGAAATGGCACAATCGCTGTGGTTGCTCGTTTAAGGGCAATGGTCAACCGGAAAGCTTGGTGATTCAGTGTTTTGTAGTGTTCTCTGGGACTCTCGCACATACACACTATTACAGCATCTCTGCTTTCTTTCCCTCCTTCGAAAGGCTTAGTCCCAGAAATGTGCTTTTCTGTCTGGACTCGCACACGTTGGTTGACCACTGCCCCGTAACCGTGGTTGCTTGGATGCCTTATTCTGTTTTCTGCGGCGAGACGTGACGTAATTGCAGACAAAGTCACGAGTGTGGTATCATACTGTGGCATCATATCAAGAGCATCAAACCGACAAAGACGCATACGGATTAGTACCGTCATGACGTTTACAAGTGAGTCTGCAATTACGACACGTCTTCTAGGTAGAAACAGAATTCAGATTAATGATCAAATAGTGGAATTTGACAGCTGGACTAGCGACGCGCTCTAGTGGATAAATTCAGTCTTAGATGGCACAGCTATACTTTGACCATTCACCGAAATTTTTTTTTGAATTTCACTTCTTCCATATAAATAGGAAATGCGGCGAGGGCGAGGCTCATAAATGAGATCGGCGTTTTTTTTGATTCTCTATAATTCGAGACCGCTAAATTTTATGTTTCAATTAATTTTGAATTTCGATGAGTATTTTTCCGATTGCAGCTGGCCGAAGTCCAGGAAAGTAACTGTCAATACAAACAACAGAATGCCCAGCTGGAGAACTTGTTGCTAAGACGACGCTTGGATGCGTTGAACGTCGCTGCGAAAGAACTCAAGAAGAAGCAGAATTACCAACCGAAGACTTCAGCCCTTCCTGATCAATCAAGACAGCGGTCACGTTCGAGTGCACAACTTCCACACAAACCTTGTTCTCGCCCAGTGGGCGGGACTCCACCACAGCAGCAACCTTGCCGCTCAAAAGGCGGAGCTCCTGACCCACGGTCGACTCCTCTATGTGCAGGCGGTGCGGTACAGGGAATTCCTACCGCGGCTCAGCTTGGTGGGTTGACTGGTGGGATTACTGCCTAGAGTATATTTTCCCATCGAACGTCATTTGTACATACATTTTTCTGTATATACATGAGTAGTTTTAGATTGTTCAACGTTTTGACTTTCTTTTTTTTTATCGCGATTTCCATTTTTACTCGATGGAATTCTTTTTTGCTTTTTTTCGTATTTGGTAGTGTGTAGTTATGTTGTTCCCTAAGGAACACTGTAGAATAGTTGTGCATTGTTTACTTCTTGTTTCCAATTACTCCAAAAGTTTTGGTATGTTCTTCTGACGCGACGTCGTCATGGTAAGTGGGTACCCTCTATTACGGGAAACGAGAAGAGCGTCGAGTGCAGACCACACACCACAAGTGACGACGGCCAAGAAAAAACGCTTTTTTTTTCTTGGCCGTCGTCACTTGTGGTGTGTGGTCTGCACTCGACGCTCTTCTCGTTTTCCGAAATAGAGGATAGCTACGGGAGTCCGTAGATCCCTTTCACTATTGCGAGCGAGGAGAACATACCAAAATGCATTGAGTATTTTGCATGAGTCTAGATAAAGTATTTTGTTTAATTTATGCACATCCATGTTCGGTGGTATACCCAAAACTATACTTTCATCAAGGTAGTGAGGCGAGTTGACCCTGAGATGGTGCGTGAATGAAATGTCAAGCAGACGACGACTCCCAAAATGTGAAACTTTTCTTGCCTGACAGACTAGGTTGATTACAGTTGTATACGACGACCTCCACAAAATGTAATGTTTTCTGCCAATGAAATGATTAGCCTGTTGCAGTTGTATTCTATCAGTTGTCACTAATTACAACTATCATTTACCAACTATCAGCTATCACTATGAATCACTAGTTACCAGATTTACTTAGGCCGTCGTCACTTGTGGTGTGTGGTCTGCACTCGACGCATTTCTGGTTTTCTGGAACACGGGTCATATATCAATTTGAAGAATCGGACTTTCGGCGACCAGCCTGGTCGATGCGCATCTATTCTTTTTCTCCAATTGCAATAGTATGGACGGATTTACTCGCGATACAGGTGTGTCGATGTACGATATTTACAACAAATGTCACAGTAGAACGCGTTAATTCACAACAATATATTTATTTCTCATTAAATTTTTGATATATCCCGCTTATGGATAGTAATATATAAACCGAATATTATTAATGAATCACATGGCAATATTTAGAGAACTGTACATGGTGCGATAACCTTATGGGAAAAACATTCTGGAGCTGCTCTGATGCTTCAGACTATCCCTTCGGCACGTGTATAATGTGTATCGATTCTGCCAACGTAAAATCAATACCCATTCAATTACACGTACTCATAAGTAAGTCCAAAGCTTGAATGAGCAGTCGGGGTTTTATTTGAAATAATGAGAAGGCGAGGGAGAAAATATGAGAGAGAGAGAACTGGCGTGATACTCAACTGTATTAGTAACTCTCGGATTTCCTAAATGGGAAGCACCAAATTAATTCACTGGTGACGTCATCCCACAAGGAAACCAGCTCGAACGCTTAGAATTAACTTTATTTACCCCGTTGTAATCAAGCGCGTTCTTGGGTCAAGGATATCTGCGGGTTTCCGAATGCGCCCAGCGCTATTGCGGGCAATACACCCTATCTGACGTCAAAAGCCGGGGTGTCAGTTTAACAGAGTAAGTGCGCGGTGGTTCTCTGTACCATGGAGAACAAGGCATGCAATAATAGAAGTACAGATCAGATCATCAGAGAAGGGCAAAGTGGAAGGAATGTGGTCGAGGAGGCCAAATGTACGGACATGCGGTCGATACTTTCGATCGATTCTTATCAAATGCATACATAGGAACACTCTAGGCTACAATTAATCTGATACATAACATCACTGGGCTGGACTTAGAAGACTCGCAAAGTGATGACGAATACCAGTAACACACTGAGCACGGACGTTGTTGAACCTGAAATTGTTGAGTTGGTTTGTGAACGCGCTCCAATTTCGCTCAGTTGTCAGGTAATGCGGACACACGGTCCAGATGCATCATTTGTCGCGAAACTTAAGCAAATGATCACGGTGTGACAATTTTTGCTGCCTAACGTATCCTCTTTTTTGGAAAACGAGAAGAGCGTCGAGTGCAGACCACACGGCGCAAGTGACGACGGCCAAAAAAGTGCGGCTTTTTCTTTTCTTTTTTCTTGACCGTCTTCGGTTGCGATAAGTGGTCTGAACTCACGGTTTCTCTTCCGCATCTAAAGGGTACGCTCTTCTTTAGGAGAAAAGCAGGTTGGCTTCCTATACGACGCAGCGCGTAACAAGTGACAACATTTGCGGAGGTGAAGTTATTACGTTAGTTGGGGGGGGGGGGCCACGCGGCGGCGCGGCAGTCTGCTCGCCTGGCATGTTCGGAAATCCGTGGGCCAGGGGGAGTGTAGCCAGTCTAGGGGGGTGGGGGTGGGGGCAGTCACTTGACATGCGTGAAAAGCTGGAATGTTCGAGTTTACACTGTCTCGCTCGAGAGAGCCCAGGTGAGCAGACTGCCGCGCCGCCGCGTGCCCCCCCCAACTAAGTTAGCACCAATTGCGATTGTCGATAGGCGCGTGACTGACGGTCGTCATAAACGTAGGCGCAATACCCGCAAAATGCTAACCCTCATGTTACCAATAGGTTTGTTTTATGCTGCTTATCGGAACTGGGTTCATTCCAACACCACACTTCATTTCTCGCGGACAGACATGCCGTAATTACAGAATTATGCTTAGCAACACGTGAAGCATTAGATAACAATCTCGAGAAACACGTCTGATATCGATTTTTTGAGCCACGTGTCACGTGACACTAAGTCTGCAATTACGGCATGCCCGGCCGTATGAAACAAAAAATACGAAAGTCAAAGATACCAGAGTACAATGAGAAACATCCGTCGCTTACCTTTGACGGTAGTGGTGGTGATGTCCTTTGGATGGCTGGTCGTTGATTCTGATGACATGGTCTCCTCCATAGGCGGCGTCGTGGTCATCTCTGATGTGGTCGTGATGGTTTCTCCGATGTTGATCACAATCGGTGTGGTGTCCTTCTGAAGAACAACAGACGGCGGTGGCATCTCGTCCCGTATCACATGCTGTGGTTCCACGTCTTTAGACTGATCCAGAGTGTTGGTTGGTACCGACTGTTAAGTAAGTAGTACAAAGTATAAACACAAGGTAATGAAAAGAGGGCCTGTAGGCCGGGTGGGATAGGAGAAATCTTTTTGCGAGCTATTGCAATATACAGGGACATCTTCAAGAACCAAGCATAAGAGGGGGCAAGAATTTCGGGGAGAATGAAAATGGATGACGCACGCTGGAGTCTCTCCTCCTCCGTCTGAGGCTTACTCCTGTTTCAACAAAAAGAACGGGTTCTACGCGATTTTAAACGTATTGTCACAATGCCCCTGTATCTTGCGATAGCACTTCTTCTTGGAAAGTCAAATTTTTTGTGGAGCTCTGCTGAGACAAAAACAGGGGTGGAACCAGCTCCAAGAGAGGAATAAGGCAGCACCTCTGCTCTAGGCCAACGTCGGCTGCCAAACAGCCGACAGTGGCTGCGGGCAGACAATCTAGCTGCAGCTTGGTCGGGCGTGGACATGGTGTTGCTGTCGAGTACAGTCGGATACCCGACGGCTAGGTCTGCTTAAGGCCGATGTCAGACTTTGCGAATCGCGCGATTCGCTAGCGTCCGCGGTCGCGTTGCGGTACCAGCCAATTGAGTGATTCACTGGCCGCGACGCGACCGCAGACGCTAGCGAATCGCGCGATTCGCAAAGTCTGACATCGGCCTGACAGCTGATTTTAACCCAACGCCCAAGGATGGATTAGCGCTTGGTCGTCATTGATACGCTCAGGCAGCGAGCGCAATGCGCCGACTATGTACGCATAATCTAATCAGGTAAGAGAGGCTAAAAAAGGAGGTGTTGAAGGGAAAAATCGATTCCAAATTAGGTCTTCTTACCCCGCCCCTTTCCCGTCCTCCAAGGTTGAACAACTTCTGAATAGGCTACCTACCTTCGGCTCGGGTGATTCAATGACACAGCTCTTGTTGTAGGCTTGCGCCCATTGGGTATGTTGTTCGTAAACGTGAAGAAGTGCACCATAACCACATTCCTTTTCGATATCGTTGCCGGCACAAGTAAGACAGAATTCAGGCTGAAAGTGGGGATTTTAAATTCATGGCAGGTGATCCGCCGGCGTGCGCCATGCACTCACTTCTTTATAGGAATTCAATTTTTTTTTTCAAAATTCAACAGGTGGCGTAGGTTAAAATAGGCCTCTCGATCTTTTCGGCAGATATTTTTCATTTTATTTATTTATATTTATTTATTTATTTATTTATTTATTATCAAATATAGTATTAGTTATATAGTTATTATTAGTATCGTAAGTGAAGAGGTAAGGAAACGAGTAACTTACACTTGGCACATTTTGCTTGCAGCATCGGATGCCATTGGATCGACACTGGCCATAGCGGCGATGCACTTTTGACCGGCAGCACTGTTCGTGTAGTCCGACAGACAGCGACCGTATGACTTCTGATCGCGAAGGGTGAGGGGTCTGAAATGGTAAGGTATGTTGTAAAATTGGGCCGCTTTGCCTCCCGATTTCCGTCTGAAGCGAGCTGGTCGGAAATCGGAATAAAATATCAGCGGAGGGACAAAATGCTTTCGATAGACTCCCTCTAATTTGCAAGATCGTGTAGTGAAGCAACACTCGCAAACCTTTTTCATTTGAGGTATTCCAATTAATTGTGGAGCTTGGCGCTTATTAGGTGGTAAGCCCCGCCTATGTGAGGCGAAGCTCCGCCCATTTAAATGAAGCTCCGCCCATTTTACTCCGGAAATCAACACAAGAATAGGTATAGCTAAAGAGACCTGTTGCAAATGCCATCGAATAGCAACATGTTGGCAGATGAGACAGGCTCGAATTTGCAGGACATTTTCTCAACGCAAGGCTTGTACGACGTCGAGAAAGCCGTGCACATATCGTCCCATTTGGAACCATCACTGAAAATGCGGGACCCATAAAATGTGACTTACTCAATTTACAAAAACTCACCCAATGATGGAAACTGGTCGGAAACTGAACGGATCGATAGCGCTTTCGCAAGCCAAGTAGGCGACCATGTCCTTTTCGGAACAACCGGTGGCGATCGATACAGAAGGTTTGTCGACCTGAAATCGATTCAGCTTTTCCCTTGCTGGCGATCAATAGTTCTCATCTGGCTTACCCTGCATCGGCTGTCCATCATTCGTGCGTAGTCATTCATCGCAGCAAACGAGTACGTCAGTGCATCATCACCGCATGTATCTCGTACCTGGAAATGGTATCCTACGGTACAGGAATGATTTTCTACGGGCACCTGATTCCAAGAAAAGGTGTACGCTCTACCCAGTAGGCTACCCAACCCAAATCTGGGTGGATACCGGAATTTAGTTCGTTATGATCATGAAGAGCTTTGGTATCCCAGGTCGGACTGCTGTGCCTAGTAACCAAAGATGGTCACCATGTAGCAGCCCTAACCATTATCTACAATGGTTTGGATTTAATGGTATCTTATGGTTTGCAACCGAATGCCCACTTGGATCTGTGACGCATTTTCACGCACCTCTTTACGTATCGACGCCGCGTGACGCACATGCGCGTCGCACCGACGTCAGTGTGTGAGGAGGTGGCACGCGTATATTGAAATAGTCGTCGGTACTCAATTACTCTCAATTTATTAGGTTTGAGTTCAAGGAAATAGATGTTTGGATTTTCGAGTTCCCTCTCAAGTCCAGCACAAAGCGCGTACAGTCGAAGCTGTTTGGCGCGTTGTGCGTAAGAAAGCTATTGCAGATCGCTTCTGCTAGATTACAGTTTTGTAAAGCCCATGTGAATAGGATACGAATCGATTAGTAACGAAAGCAGACCTGCTTGGCCATGCATGTAGCGGCGTTCTGAATGGCAGAGCATCGGGTTCCAGGTGTTGATGACATGAATTCTGACATGCACGAAGCTCCCTGCAAAGATAATAAAAATATGATTCTACTCGATTCGATATTCAAGAAGAAAAGAGTTCACATGAATATTTCTCTTTTTGGGAGATTCGGGAGGAGACGCGCGCGGTCGCGGCGCGATTTGGGCAAGTACAGCTATCGCAGATCGTGTTGGCGTATCGATGCACCTTATGCTAGCCAAGTAGGGCATCAGTGGAACAGTGTCATAGCGCTGCCACGCCTTTCACCAATAGGTGAACAACCACACCCCTCGTTGGTGAATTACCCCTCCTCATCATGCACAACGACATTACGGCAGAACTGGCCCTCCTCTCTGTGGAATGGGATATTTTCCATGGGCATTCTCTTTCCATATCGTACATTCAACTTTTATAAGGACGCTCCTTATGCGTCGGGAAATATTATGTAGGAACACGCACACTCTGCGTCTATGTCACTTTACTCTGTTTGTTTAAGATCAAACCAGTGCTGTTTTTCTGGGATTACTAGGGAAATTCCACCGTAAACAGTGGGATCAGTCCTTTTTGTGAAAGGGATCAATATAAGTTCTCGCTACTCGAATTCCGATCACCTTGCCGAGCCCTCACCGCCCACTGCCGCTAATGCGTTGGTGTCTGCGTCTTGCTCGTCCTCCATGCTCTCTCGTCTCCTATCTTGTTTTCTAGCCGCAGTGGTCCCTTCTCTCCATCTTTTTCGCAGCTCGAGAAGAAGCCCTTATTTACAGGGTCTCCGTTCACCTTTCACTAATCAGAGACTTATAAACACTTAGACTGTGAATGTGCTCTTAATTCGCAGAAGTACGTAGTGCTTCCATCATAAAGCTT